AAAATGTCTGTCATTTGATATAAAAAATAAAAAAAGTGTTTACATCACAAAATTCATAAACTGTGGTGTAATTTTGATGTTGCAAAGGTAACAACATCGTGGACCTAGATCAAAATTGGTAAATGGCGAGACCTATTGTACATTAAAGAGTTTGCAAGAGGAATATTTTGAGTATATACTCAAAAAGTCTGTGTTCATTTAATAGGGAAAAACTACTAAAAAACTTACTTTTCGTTGGACAGAAAACGAATTGAAATCTGCCATTCAAAAAATGAAAATGAGAATAAAGTGCACAAGCAGTTAAACTGTTTTTTTGGCATGTTCGATATGAGACAATTCATTATTTAACCATCTCATCTTCCAAGCAAACACGCTAAAAGTATCGCCTTCATCTGTTTCGTCTACTTTTCAACTCCCCCCCTTCCTACAGTTGAGGTGAATACTGAGATCGAAGTTGCACGGAAAATCTGCACCGGGCTACTTGTCGCGTATGGAGGAAGTGTGCTCATGAGAGCAGAGGCCTCCCAGCTAACTGCCAATCAATAGTTCCGCATTGTTTAATGAACCCTTCGTTGTGCCATAACGACGAAGCTATGTGGCAACGTCCTACCCCTGCTGAGATCAATATCACCCGTCAAAGTGTCAAAGAAAATCTACACAGTTAATTGGCTTGTCCAAACCTGTCACGAGAAAACTCTTGTAGAGGTTTTCATGAAGTTCAAACTAGATTTGCTGACCCAAATCTAGTGGGAGGAAAGGGAGTAGCAATTTAATGAAATTTTTTTGCGGAATCACTGAGTATTCAGTTCCAGAGTCAATAGTAAAAATCAAACCAGGAATTTCATCTAAAAATGTGTACTGCATGATCAAAATTTATTTGTGAAATTTCTTTTGCTTTCATTGCTAAATCCTTAGAGGTGTAAGAAGAAGAAGAAGAAGAAAGCACCTCGACCACCATAGGGAGACACGTCGGTGATAACAAAAGGGGCCTTTTCAAGAGACGTCATGCAAAATCCCTTTTGGTATGAGGCTCTGTAATATTTATTTATTTATATCAAATGGCAGGCGTTTTGATGGTCATCATTAGCTCTTTAGTTGATTTCAGGCTTCATAGAGGAGGAGGAGCATCAAAGTGAAAAAAGTCGAGACGGGGAGGGAAGAGAAGAGTGTTTCAAAGACGAAGGTTGAAAATTTAGAAAAAAATGTGATGTGGTAGTGTGGAAGTGGTCGAATATGCCATACAGTGGGGTCATGGTAGTTTGAAGTCAACTGCCGGTTTATAGACTTTTTAGCCGTATGAGTATACGTTGCCCAGGGTGCACCACGTGGAGGTAAGTCTATCGCACACCCCGGTTCTGTAATATACTAAGCACTTCTAAGGGTCTGGATGTATTTACGCACAACTTCAGCGTTGCATTCAGAAGACTCTGAATATTTACTGTCGCTGATATCGGTGACATTGCAATAAATCGGAGCACTTTCATTTTCAACTATTTTTTTTATTTTAGGCAACTTAACTAATGGTATTCTATGTTACCTTTTCTCTTAACTTCGACTTTGTGAAGATAAACAATTGAGATGTACATTTTTAAATCAATTGGCACGCTGATATATTCGAAAATTTTTCATAGCTAAGTTGATAGGATTTACAGAGGCAGTCATAGTTTATTGCGTGGGTTTGATCGAAATAGCCTTCCACTTTGATTAAAATGACACCTCATTTGAATATTTAAGGGGAGGTCTTGAGATTTCTTACTCTTTCCTCTCCCTCTTGCTAAAGATGTCAACCTTTCTTTCAAATAGATCTCTTACCCGGAGGTAGTCATTAAAGATGTTCATGAATATACACGAAATAAAAACTTGAAAGCTAATTCGGTGCTCACATAACGTCATTTCTGCTTAAATGGCATACATTAGGTGATCGGTGACCTTGAAAAATCGGAAATTGATTTTCGCTTGCTTAAAATCCTGGTACTTGGTCCAAGGTTTACATCTGCTTATAATTATTGTAACAAATTTTCAGACCTGGTACTTTTGGAATAAATCTTAACCCAACGCCTGTGTTTGTGTAAGCTATGAGTGATCATTATTCCCTTCAATAGTGCTATGGGAATCGACAGAATACGCGGACAATGGAATGAACTTCGGATGAAGAGATTTTGAGAAAAAATATTGGTTAGCCTAACACACAGTATTGAAATAACAATAGCGTCTGAGTGTGTGAATACTCTGAGATACATCCCACAAGCAGGCACTGGAATTCATGCATTTCAAGTAGTATTTTACATCAGACTTTATTTATTTCAAATGACAGGCGTTTTGATAGTCAGCATTAGCCATTTAGCTGACTTCGAGCTTCAACGAAAGGAGGTGGGACATCGAAGTGACGAAAAGTCGAGAGGAGTGACAGAATAATGATTAACAGACGTGAAAGAATCAGACAGACACAAAGGCAGAGGAAAGGTGAGGTGAGTACTGTGAAGGGGTCGAATATGACATACAGTTGGGGTCATGGTAGTTTGTAGTCAGAAGTCAACTGTCGGTTTATAGACTTTTTTGCCGTACCACGCGGAGGTAAGTCTATCGCACACCCCACCTAAGAATTAAATTTGGCCAACGAGTATTTCCGCGCACGGATGATAGGTATGAGTTAGTGAGGTAAATGGGTTATCATTATTAACCCGATGCGTCATGTCTTGAAATCGATTTTGCCATTTGTTCGAATAGGACTGGGGATTAGTGACAAACATGCGATTAATTTAGCAATAAGTCGTCGACTTTAAATTACTATGTTGTGCTATTAGAGAGCATGTTAGAACTCCATCCATCGACACGATTTTTTTGTCCCGAGTGCGTCGAAATTCTTATGGAGACTCAAACAAACCCCAGACAATACTCCCCCTCCAAACTGGCCCGTGCTTACTCCTTCCTGCCAGCTGTTTGATATGCCGTCTATCAACTATTTCAGGTATCTATTGGGTGGGCAACTAAGTCATTGCCGTTTTTGTTGACAGATTCACTCTATACTTTCTTTTGTTTTGTTAACGTGGCCAGAGCATCTAACCTATATTTTTTTCTTACTGTATGGGCTTCTAGGTTAATTATTAAAAATTTTTTTGTTTAATTCTTTAGTTTTGTTTTTATCCCAATTTAAAATGAAAGAACAGGACGTGCACTTCCGACACATTTTATTGTATTACTTCCGAAAAGGCAANGGAGATGAAGCCTTAAAAGAAAGGCAGTGTCGAAATTGGTCTGAAAGATTTCGTTCCGGTGATTTTTCACTGAAAAATTCACAACGATCTGGCCGCCCAGTCGAAGTGGATGAAACCCATATCAAGGCCATTATCGATTCAAATCGTCACAGCACAACACGAGATATTGCAGAGAAGCTCAATGTGTCGCATACATGCATTAAAAAAAATTAAAAACCCTTAGTTATGTCAAGAAACTTGATTTATGGATCCCTCACCAGTTAAAGGAATTTCATTTGACGCAACGGATTAGCATCTGTGATTCGCCGCTACTGAAACGCAATGAGAATGATCCATTTCTGAAGAACCTAGTTACTGGCGACGAAAAGTGGATAGTTTATAACAATGTTACTCGCAAGAGATCATGGGTGAAGCAAGATCAACCAGCCCAAACAGTATGAAAAGCAGAGATTCACCAAAAAAAGATTATGCTGTCAGTCTGGTGGGATCACAAAGGAATTTTGTATTTTGAACTCATGCCGCAGAACCAAACGATTAATTCAAATGTGTATGTTGAAGAACTCGAAAAACTGAAGGATGCAATTGAAGATAAGCGGCCGGCATTATCAAATCGGAAGGGTGTTGTTTTCCATCATGATAACGCAAGGCCCCACACGTCTTTGGTTACTCGGCAAAAATTATTGGAACTGGGTTGGGATGTTTTGTCACAACCACCATATAGCCCTGACCTTACGCCTTCGGATTACCATTTGTTTCGTTCCATGCAAAACTCTTTAAATGGTCAAATTGTTAACAACGCGGATGATGTCGGATCACACCTAATTCAGTTTTTTAATAGCAAAGACCAGACATTTTACGAACGGGGAATTTTTACTCTGCCAGAACGATGGAAAAAGGTCATCGACAAGAACGGCCAATATCTAATTGAATAAAGTTATATTTTTAAAGAAAAATTCCGAATTTGCCTTCTTATTTGAAATCGGCAATGACTTAGTTGCCCACCTAATAAATGAGCTTACGCGCTAACCCAGGCAGCATCCTTGTACTTCATCTACTTGAAGTCTCATTTTCCATCTGCGCAACTGTTTAGCTCTCTTCTCTCACAGCCAGTTCAGTAGACGAGCACCTTCCACCCTCCCCTACCTCCTTTCTACTAAGTTTAATTGAAACAGTGCTTCCACATTCTTTCTACTCTCGTGTACATTTACATTTAGTAGAACCAGTCTTTAGTCCCCCTCCCCTCCCCCCAACAAGGCAAAAGAAACACAGAAGTTCAATGGTAATTAAATGCCTTCACAATTCGACGTTAGGAAGAAAAATACGGCACTCACTCAAGGGGTATAGTGAGTAGGATACAGATGGAGATCGATGGTTAGCGTCCAGCAATATAACGGATTCCAGAATAAGAACAAATACACACACACAGTGATAAGGGGAGGGGGTATTTCAGACACGTAAAAATTTTAGTTTCCGACAGGAGTCACAACTTGTCTTTAATTCGTAAGTCGAAGAGAGTACAAAAAGGGAAATAAATGGGTGTAAGGGGGAGGAGGGGTGGAGGTGGGGGAGGGGGGGGGAGAAGATAGAGAGAATGAGGTTGACAGGGAGGGNGGGGGGGGGGGGGGGGGGGTAGGGTTAGATTAATTCAATGATTAACCGGAAAGTGGAGAGCGGAGATAAGAGGGCGAGGGGGGGGGGCGAGGTGAGGAGATGAGAGATAATTCGATTGAAAAAGAATGCCCCGGGGGTCGACGCTTTGTGGGCGAAACGCTAGATGTCCGCGTCTCAGTAAGGCAATGGGTCATCAGTCCCTAAAAACGCGAAAAGAAAGGCTAATATTTAGTAAAGATTATTAAAATAAACGAGTATTGCTAGCTACTATATACCAAAATAAAAACTAATAAAAAGAAAGAAAAGAAGAAAGATCGGAATCTAGAGGTGGTTAAATGCCCTTTAACACTAGAAATCTGCATGTGTCATGAATATCTCCTTAATGTTCATTTTGGACATGAAGAAGTATAAAATTACGCATGAAGCACAACGATAAACACTAAATAAGTGACATTTCGGCGCTGTTTTTTTTAATTATCCATTTCTAAGTGGCTCCTGTAACGCTATAAACAGTAAGCAGAAAGTATTGTCGGCTGCAAAGTTGCCCTTCAAAACTAGGAGGGATGAACCATGGTACGAATCCACTCAATTCACCAAGTCAGTCAATCAAGAAGCATCATATCGAGTGATGCGTCACGTGGGAGGGGGGATTACGAAGAGTCGAGAAGAGGCCAAACACTTGTTTCCTTTACTCCTAAAATTGACATGAGCACGATAAAATACGCGCTAATAGCAAAGCATAAAACTATCATAAGTTGGACCCATTAGCATGTTAAAACACACATTAATCAATATCACTAAGTTACTTTTAACTTACCAAGGAGACAAATTCAATGGGAACGACAAGACCTACACCTCTGAATGATTCAATCAATTTGCCGGTCAATTTGCTTGAAACCGGGACAATGCATGGAAAACCACACGGACCAACTTGAAGTATTCACAAAATCCAAATAGAGTGAGACTCTTGGTGAACTGAAGTGTCAGCTACTTGAGACAATCGACTCACTCGGAGAAAGGAGTGGCTGTCAAACTGTTTCGAATTTCAAACTCAACTACAGAAAGTGTATAATCGATTAACCGACATTACGATATATTAGCGACTTGTAATAATTTCAAGAGGTTTGAATCTTCAGCAGCAGCTTGGTAAATGATCAATGCACTTAATATTCCCGAAATCAGTAATTCCGAAAAAAGATCGAGATGAATAATTGAATGAATAAGTGAATACCCAGATCGAACATCCATGCAAAACTCAAGGTCACAGTTCCAAAAGGAAAGCAGGAGGAAAACAATGGCCAATAATCAATCAAATTGAAATTTTAAGAAGATTCGATTTTTGTTCAGTCACTCAGCACATCATAATTGAAAAAGTTCAATGTCTTTGGTGAACTATAATAGAATGATGAATTAATTCACCAAAGCCATGAAGGGGACCGCGCATTAAATTCGGCTGTTTGGAATTGAATAAGGGAGCCAACAATTCACTCGTTGGTGGAAGCGTTATCCTTGCTGAATTATCCAAAGCACCACTCGCTTTAGCCGGGGATGTGTGAGGCGATCCACGATTTGAAGCTGGAGAATATCGAGGATAGTGATGAAGGTGAGGTGGAGCATGGAAATTACGATTTTGTGTATCCGACGGCAATGCCTCTGTCCAATCGGGGCTGCGGACATTCTTCTGCACGGAAATGAAAAAACCGTTTATGAACAATTAACAACTGAAATGGTTCACGTATGTGAAATTTCATTCACCTCAGTTGTGGAGGGATGGCTTGGATGCGGCATAGCGCGATGGTAATTCGATGGTGAGGAATCTATACGAAATTTGAAATCATTAACAGTTTAATTCAATTTACCGTGGGGAAAATCAACTTGGGAATGAGGAAGAGGTGGACAGAAGGCGGAATTCTTCGAAACAGTAAGAGTCTGATTAGATGCATTGGCCGATGGGGAATTTCCATTTTGTTTGCATTCACCAATCGGTTTAAGGCCTAATTGATTGAAGCAAGTATAAATCAACAGAGATGTCAATCTTCCAAAGAAAAAAGAGTTAACAAATTATTACCAGCAAGAGCCTCACGTAAATCTCCAAGAGGTACACGGAAGGGCGATCGAGGATTGGAAATAAGATGGGGTTTTACAGATGATGCCTCCACGCTATTATGCACAGGAGAGGAGTGCGTTTCTGTAAATAACATGAAAATCACAAGTTACTAACGAAAAATAAGTAGTAGTGCTTAATCGTCGTAAGACCAAATAGGGAGTCAATTAGAGGCTGATTCAATAAGTCAATTAAACAGCGCTTACTGAAAGGGGTGCATTCTACTACAGTCTCTTTTCATTTCATCAAACCTACGGATGTGATCTAAGACCAATCCTACTTATTTAAAGGAGAATATATGGCAGACCCTCAGTTGAAGTAAATTTTTCTAGCATCGAAGACAAAAGGCGTCAGGCAGCTTTCAGGACACATATTACCAATATTTCCCATATTGTTAGGATTAAAAATCGGTAAGTTTTGGCGCTTCGAACAGATTTCTATTTCAAACGAGAGTTCTTCTGGGCAACTCTTTCCATGGTCAACTTCATTAGAGGAAAAAGATTGCGATAGTGGCGAATTATGCAATCGTAGAAAATGATATAAAATTCATGAGAATAAACTGAGAGAAATTTAATCAAAAAGATTTTGTAAATAAAATAATTTTGTTTCAAGACCCACACAAGAATTCGCAAGAGATGGGAATTAGTTGAAAAAATCTATGCACAGATATGTGATTCAAACCCCTCAACAACGTTAATAGAAGACACCAAAAGCGCTTTTTTTCTCAAAAAAAAGACATTGCGCGCCACCAAGAGCTCTAACGAGTGTACTCACGTTATTAGAGCATGCTAGAGAAGAAAATGAATTAGAAATTGCTAGGAGATGACAGCGGATTTCTTCGGGTCATGAGTAGCGAAGTATTCCCTTGGGGGGATGAGGGAGGGGGTCATCTTAGTTTATTGCCTTAAGGTGCCGATAATGCAAATTCCATTTAATTCTAACTGCAATGCGATAAACGCGAATCAATAAAAAGTTAACAACTCTAAATATATTGGTGGGAGGAGGGGGGGGGGCGGGGCGGGGGAGGCGGAACCAATAGGAAATCGCGCGCATTTTACAAATAGATGGTTAAGCTCAGTTTGCATTCAACTCCTGTGAAGGAAACCAATTCCTACGTTTCTACCATGAAGAACAAATAAGTCAAAATTATGAATGACTAATACATTGTGTCCAATCCCAATGGAAAGAGATCAGACGTCAGACTATGCATACTGCTTTCTTTCAACAGACCTTGAACGCTCTTAAGGCCACTAAAACCATTGATGGAATTTATGCCAAAGCACTTGCAGCCCACCAGTAGTAGCAATTCTGGTTTAAAAATAGACTGGTGATTAGAATGTCACGTCAAAATCAGGCCGACCAACAAATCGGCATTAATTAATGATGAAATCAACTACCTGATTGAATCAGGCCCTGGGTGAACTTAAGGGGAAAAAATATCGCAGAAATTTGCAAGTCCATGGTCAACTGCGCAATTACACTTGGGGAAGGCGTCGTTAAATTTAATAGCATGGGAATTTAGGTGACGCCACATCAACTCTCCCAGTGCAACAAAGGTGAGAGGTGAAAAAGTGCTTTCTTTGTTGTCTTGACAACAAAGCATTCGACCTTTTACACCAAGCTGTGACTGGAACGTGTGTGTGTGTGTAGGGGGGGTGGGGGGTGGGGGAAGAGCGAGAAATGGAGCCTTTACGCCAACATTGCAAACCGCAGAAATAGCAAAAGCCTATTGGCAACAATTTGGAAGGATAGAGCAGATATTAAAGGAAAAAAAGTTGATTTAATATAGAAAAAAGGAATAATTCTACAACTTGGCAATGACTAGCCTAATCAGCAGCCATATGCAACAAGAATGCTCTCCAAAAATTGAGAAATTAAATTTGAAGGTTCTATCACATCCTCCAAATTCGTCAGATCTCCCTCCTCCCCCCCTTCCTCTCTTTCAGGTCATTGAAGACAAAATGATTCCTAAATGATAGCGAAGTCGAAGCCTACTTGAAAGAGTACTACAACTCGCAAAACAGCGAGGGAGGGTGGAGTGAAATTGCATGAGCAATGTGAAAGGGTTGGAAATGATGGTGAAAATTATACTATACAGCATCATGTAAAATATTTACAAAAAAAACGACATTTTATTATTCTTCTGCTGAGAGAGAGAGAAAAACAAAACAGTGGTCCTACAATGGATTCCTGGTCACTGTGCCATTAAAGGCAATGGAGCTTGCTGACACACTTGCTAAGAAGGGGACAACGATTTTGCAATGCATGGACCGGCCGATGTCTTTCCACACAATGAAGGCCTTAATCAGGAGAGAATTCCAGACCTCAAGGTGCAACGAACTTAAAGCTCGAACAAAGGAGAAACAGTAGACAGTGGCATTCTCCGACATAGCCTACTGGCCAAGAATCGAAGCCGTTGCTGAGTTTAGACTACGTACCGGACACGATTGCCTGGAAAAACACCTTCACAGATTGGGAGCATACACTCAACTCACATGCCCCCTATGTAACCTACAGGAGGAAATGGAGAACACCCACCTGATTCGATGTCCAGCCCTAAAGAAAAGGAAGACCCACCTGATTCGGTGTCCAGCTCTAAAGACAAGCAAGAAAGCCAGAGATACTGGGAAGCAAGAAGACAGCTAATGAGCTGAAAGCAGAGTACGGGGAAGCAAGAAGACTGCTAATGAACTGCTATTAATTAACCGCTATAAATGTAAGAAGCAAGAAGACAGCTAATGAATTGCTATTAATGAACTGCTATAAATGTAATTAAGCCAGATACGGGGAAGCAAGAAGACTGCTAATGAACTGCTATTAATTAACCGCTATAAATGTAAGAAGCAAGAAGACAGCTAATGAATTGCTATTAATGAACTGCTATAAATGTAATTAAGCCAGAGATACTGGGAAGCAAGAAGACAGCTAAATGAACTGCTATTAATTAACTGCTATAAATGTACCCCCCTTCATGAACGAAGAAGACAGCTAATGAATTTCTATAATTAACTGCTATAAAGACCCACCTGATTCGGTGTCCTGCCCTAAAGACAACGACGGAAAACCAGAGTACGGGGAAGCAAGAAGACTGCTAATGAACTGCTATTAATTAACCGCTATAAATGTAATCCAGCTCTAAAGACAAGGACGGAAAGCCAGAGATACTGTTAAGCAAGAAGACTGCTAATGAACTGCTATTAATTAACTGCCGCAAGAAGACAGCTAATGAATTGCTATTAATTAACTGCTACATGTATGTACCCCACCCCCTCTTGGGGGAAGCTGAAGTCAAAGTTTAAGGGCTAATGATAGAATGAACTGCTATTAATTAACTGCTATATATGCACCCCCCACCCTTTGGGGGAAGCTGAAGTCAAAGTTTAAGGGCTAATGATAAATATCACGAAGCCTGCCATTTGAAATAAATAAATAAATTATTCTTCTTACAATGCCGCTCTGACATCCACTTTGGCATTGAAAATACTTATAATAGATGTATCGGGTTGTAATTCGAAGTAAAAATGTAATCGAATATCGAATACCTGAATTGAAATTTGATTGAGTTTGGAGAGTGGACGAGGAGGGGAAAGATGACCTAAAGAAAAAAAAATGGGAATAATAATTGAGTTGAAATATTCACGAAGAAAAATTAGCCACTAAACTTACGAGTTGAGTGACGTGGAAGATTCGGTGCTGTTGGCAAATCGCTAAAACAGATGTCAAAGCATGAGTGTGATTGGAAAGCAAGCTAGATCAAAGTATAACATTGTTAGCCAAATCGATGATAATTATCTGAGCATTGTATTAATCCTTTAAGGCACAAAGGACCGTACGATACTCTTATAAAAAATAAGGTCTATTTTAGTACTAGACTCTTAACAGAAGTGGCGCCATTGCTGTTTGAAATATGATCAATGTGTGTTTATAGCCTTCATCTGATACCAACCTAAACTCATCACATCGGTGCTGTGAGACACTCGTGAGTGCGGTTGAGTGCATTTTTTTCAATAAATAATTCGGATGTCAATGAATTAAGGTTTTTTCAAGTGCTAGGCGTTATGATAGTTATCATTAGCCCTTTAGCTGGCTTAGGGCTTCACAAAGAGGAGGAGGAACATCAGAGTGAGAAAAAGTCGAGAGGGGGGGGGGACAGAAGAGCGATTCACAGACGTAAAAGAGGCAGACAGACACAAAGGTAGAAAAAAGTGAAGTGAGTACTGTGGAATTAGTAGAATATGGAATGCGGTGGGGTGATGGTAGTTTGAAGTCAGAAGTCAACTGTCGGTTAATAGACCTTTTTTGTCTTATGAATATACGTTGCCCAGGGTGCTCCACGTGAAGGTAAGTCTATCGCACACCCCCAATGAATTAAGGTACACCGAGCGATTCGGATTGCAAGAAACCTAACTATTTTAGAAGTTTCAAGCACCAAAACACAAAATTAGCAAATAATGCTGCAAAAAACTAATTTGAATCTAGCATTAATAAAAATATGGAAAAGGGGTGCGTAATAGACTTACCTCCACGTGGTGCACCCTGGGCAACGTATATTCATACGGCAAAAAAGTCTATTAACTGGCAGTTGACTTCTCACTTCAAACTATCATCACCTCACTCTATGCCATATTCGACTATTTCCACAGTACTCACCTCACCTTTCATCTACCTTTGTGTTTGTCTCTTACATCTTTGAAACACTCTTCTGTTCCCACCCCCCTCTCGATTTTTTTCAATTTGATGTTCCTTCCCCTCTGTGAGGCCTGAAGTCGGCTAAAGGGCTAATGATAACCATCAAGACGCCTACCATTTGATATAAATAAATAATATGGAAAATGGATGACCTTAAATTGACAACTGACTTTGTCACCTATCTGCCCATCAAAATAATATTATGACAACAGCTTATCCAAAGGGAAAGATATGCACAAATATTTTGCACGCGAACTGAAAGAGTCAACAAATATCAACATAAATTAATTTAAAATGCCTCACAAGAAACGAGGAGGGCAAAATTAAATTACTCTTTGCTATTTTTTCCACTTTTTAATTGATTTAGTAATGCAAATTGTGAACATTTCAAACGAGGCACAAACAATGGACCTCACATTGCAAGTCATTAAGCGCGATGCTAACAGACGATTCCAAAAAATAGGGGTCAGTGGCTAGATTTAGGGCCACGCTCATCTTCAGAACCCTTACTGTGAAAGACAGAGAGTACTGTGGTCATTTTAGCCAATTTCGGGACAAGATATGATTCCTGTGTTTAAATAACTGACAAAACACTGATAGTTAATAGACTTTTTTGCCGTATGAGAATATGTATGTCATATTCGACTACTTCCATAGTACGCATCTCACCTTCTATCTACCTTCGTCTTTGAAACACTCTTCTATCCCCTCCCCCCTCTCTCTGCTTTTTTTCACTTTGATGTTCCTTCCTCTCTGTGAAGCCTGAAGTCAACTAAAGGGCTAATGATAACTATCAAAATGCCTGCCATTTGATATAAATAAGTAAATAATTGACAAAACACAAAATGCAAAGAACAGTTAAAGCGCTGAACCGATTCAAAACAAAATTTCAAGAAAACGGATGTAGAGGACTCACATTGGCAGAGGCGTAACGCGACGGTGGACGTTTTCTAGCGAAGGCACCAGCTGTCCCAACTTTGATACGATGCATGTGACACTCATAGAACTGGCTTCCACCAATCAATGCGGACTCAAATGGACTTTCCTTGGCGTCGGGGAGGAGGGCTCTCTCAGAGTCGGGTAAAGCGGCGAGATTAAGACGACCAGATAGAAAGGGTGACGAAACAGCGGCGGTGTTGACAGATGCCACTATATAACCCACGAGAGTTATATAAAAGAATACATATATATATATATATATATATATATATATACCGTTATATCCTATTTACTTTATCTCCAACTTCTGTATCCAAAGGAGGCATGGACTCCACTTAAACTCACAGCAAAATAATTAACAAGTTGTCATCTCCCATGTGACACTAACTGTAAAACCAGCCCCGCAAAAAAATGCGTCGTTAAATTGATCAAATGATTTTTCCTGATTTTAGCCTATGGAAGAGAAAAGCCCAGTTAAATATTAGCATTCTTTGCTGTGTCATTATTGACAGAAAGTTTTGTGTTTTAACTGGCCTACATAATGAACCAATTTTTATAGATGATTTCTTAGTAATAATAATAATTATTATTATTATTCATGCATTTAAGTGTGCTTTCTATTTGTCAGTAAGTAATAACAAAAACACTTAAGATAGAACTTTAGAAAATAATAAGTTCCATAAAATGGGACGTACGATAGACTTACTAACACATGGTGCACCCTGGGCAACGTATGCTCATACGGCAAAAAGTCTATCAATGGGCAGTTGACTTCTCACTTCAAGCTACCATGACCCCACTGTGTGTCATATTCGACCACTTCCACAGTGCTCACCTCATCTTTTTTCTACCTTTGTGTCTGTCTCTTTCACATCTTTGAAACACTCTTCTGTTCAACCGCCCCCCCTCTCGACTTTTTTCACTTTGATATTCTTCCTCCTCTCTGTGAAGCCTGAATTCTACTAAAGGGCTAATGATGACTATCAAAACACCTGCCATTTG